GCTCACAGGACATAGAAATTATGCTGATGAGTCCTATGAAACTGATGATTCACAATTCCCACCTTGCTGCAAAAGAGCTGGGAAATATAGTCACTCCTCATAGCTAGTGTGTACTAGGTGTAGCCCAGTGAACTCTAAGGAAAGAGTCAATTGCCATGAAGACACCTTTTTAAGAAGCAATCTGCTGGATTAAATGGTAATTTGTTTTAGTTTGTATAATTCTGATTGCTAATAAGAGAATTTTTTTCAGTAATCATAGGCTATTTGTTTTGTAGCTAAAGAACTTTCTAATGTCTTTTTTAGTATTGTATGGTATTGTTGATAGAGGTGTGCAAGTGGGGGGTGGGCTTTGATAATCTAAACACACATGCCAGGCCTAGTCTCTCTCTCTCTCTCTCCCACTCTCTTACCCTGTCATGTGTGGATCCCATGTGAGTTCTCATTAACTATTCCAGTGCAATGTCTGCCTGTCTGCCTACCTGTCTGTGGGTCTGCTGTAGGGAGAGACCCCAACACCTGTACCTGTGACCATGCCATGCCTGCCTGTCTTTTTGTCTTTTTGTCTGTCTGCCTGCCTGCCTGTCTGCCTGCCAGCCACCATACTCCTCCATGATGAAACTGATCCTCTGAAGCTGTAAGCAAACCCTCAATTAAATGATTCCTTTAAAAGTTTCCTTAGTCATGGTCTTTGATCACAGTAAGAGAACAATAACTAAGACATACTTATTGATTTGATTAGGTAGGATCATGTTCAGATTATTGAACATCACTGCTCCTTGTATTTCATTGTTTTTGTCTAAATATTATCATGGCTCCCAGCTCTACTCAGACATGGTCAGAACTGGTCAGCAGGCTACTTGTCCCCAGTCTGTTGTAGGAGAACTTAAATCATGACACCGAGTCCCTTATTCAGAATGTCTTGCCACAAATGAGCATGGGCTAAAGCAAACAGAGGTGAGGGATCTGATGCTGTAGTGTAAGCTCTCAGGATAAAGAACAGTCCCCTGGTCTTTGAGTGGTACCTGTCTGTACCATCATCTTTCTACCCTCGTCCTCCTAATGGAATGCTGATGATCTCCTTTCTTCTTGACTCTGCAAATCTCCATCATATTCCACAAACAGGTTTTCTATAACTAGGAAGCATGCTTGTCAGTGGAGATTTCGGGTAACACAGTAAATGGTTTTCAATAAGTAACACTGAGCTGCTGTGATAATACTACATCAGAGGTTGTGCTCTGAATTAATAACCAATTAACTTTCTTACTTTAGAACTCTTTCCTTGGTGACTGGAAGCCTCTGTGGAGTCACCACAACAGAGGGGAACATGGTTTTGGATGAGGAAGGATCAGAATCTTAGTTTTAAGACAAAGTATTCATAAGCATCTCAGACTGGCCCCACAGTAGTGGCACTCTTACCTCCTTCCCAGAGAGTTGGGATTAGATGTCTGCACCACTACATGTAAGCCACAGGGTGTAGATTCATGACTCAATTGCAATGGTTCATATTGTCATAGTGCTCAGAGGTATAGGATAAACAGCTATCTAAGCAACACTTGTCCCGAAGGAAACATGGCTGAGCTTTCATATTAATGGTTTTGATATTCTATGTACATCCATAGAGGATGAAAAAGGGCCTGTTCACTGTGCGTTCTGCCTTCCCTGGGTGTTTGAAACACTGATGTTTTGCATATTGTGTAGTGCTTACTTTTGCATGTCTGTGACAGGATTAATACAAAAGAAAGTTATGTTTCTTTGTCTCTCTTGCTCACTGACCAAAGGCTACTGGGGAAGGAGAGTTTTTATTTGAGTTACCAATGATAGTCCATCATCCATAGGAACCGAGGCAGTATTCTGGAGGTGGGAGCTGAGGCAAAGAGTGTGAAGGTTCTTTGTATGGTGTCTTGCTCCCCAGGGCTTGCTCATTGAGCATGCTTTCTCTTTTGTAACAGTAATTTATTTTCAATTAAAATATACTCATACCCTTGATCCCCTCTTCTCTGCAATCCTTCCAATCCATTCAAAAATTCATGTCCTCTTTTATTACTTCTGCCTTATATATATATAAGTACATATATGTATATGAAACAAGTAAATAAAGCCAGTTGTGTCCATTTACTCTTGCTTGTGTTTATATTTAGAGCTAACACTATGGGTTGGATATTGGACTTCCATTTAAGAAGTTCATTTTAGGGAAAACTAATGCTTCCTCTTTCGGTCGTCCTTAATGCCCAAGTTTTCATCTGGCCCTATTACACACCCAGGATCAAACTGCAATGGATTAGTCTTGCACAGTGGGCTGTGATTTCTCACATCAATGAAGGAAATGACCCACAGACTTGATCACCCGCTAGTATGGTGGAGAAAATTCCTCCATGGAGGTGGTTCCCTTTCACAGATAACTCTAACTTTTGTTACATTGAGAAGAAAAGCAAAGATAGAATTAATGGTGACCAAGAAAGCAAAACTCAGTGGCTTACATGTAAAGGGCAGAAAGATTTATCTGGCATAATAGGCTTCCAAGGTCTCAGGCCACTCTGGTATGTAATTTCAGTTTCTGATTCTTGACATTTTAGTGGTACCAGAAGAAGAGATTCATACAAGAAGCAGGCATGGATAATGCCCTCTTAAGAACCATCCCCTGGGTCATGCTTTTCCTACCTAGCCCCTATACTGAAATGTCTCCAGAAATTCTTAAAATAGTTCAACTGTTTGTGGACTAAGATTCAGTATCCAGAGAGAACCTATAGGAAGTATCACCTATTCAAATGACAGGCGTCTAAATATAAAAAGTCATCTATGACATTCCCATATACTTTCTATGAAAATTCAATGACTTCCAAAAGCGGTGCATTTGAATACAACACCCAGGATTAAAAGTATAAGACCTACTTTTAAAAAAGTAAAAGTTGTTCCTGTAAGCTGCCAATGATAAGAAATGAATGAGTCCGAGTATAAAGCTGAGTAGGGACAACACTCCCACCCCACATTCATGATATGATCCATTCAAAAAGTGCAGTTTGTAACATCAAGTTCATCATATTTGATTCAACTTTGTCCTTGAATAAATTACAACCTCCACATTCTGTCTCATAGTTTTCAATGTAATCTTCAGTCTCTTTCTCTGTCCTGATTTTCTGCTGGAAGGAACTCATCCAAGTTACAGAAAGGTTTATGGAACATTCATGCAACTATGAAAGTCAACAAAGACAGTAATCAACATCTTTTAGCTGTACACCAAGAAGTATGTAATGTATTTTACCATAGTAATGTTTCAAGCCCGTTGTAGGCAGCTGGCTACAGATTTTTGAATTGGTAAGACTTAGAAATTTACAGAATTATTAATGATTCTTAAAAATGACTATGTGTTGCAGTTGGAAATACTCAGATAATGATGGTATTGGATATTGAAGTAGATTGAATTCTCTCTAGGTTTTCCACTTTCCCCTGCCCCAAAGCTGGAATTGACTGGGGACAGATTGCATTAGAAACAGGGAAACTTATACAGGGAAATTCCAAGTCAAAGAAGGGAGAGAGCAACAGGGTAGGCTTCAGCAATTCTAAAGACTCTGTTGTGCAAAGGATGCCATGTTTTCTGGCATCCCTTAAGCTGTTGGGTTCATTGCCAGTTGTGAGCATTTTCTCTATGAGTGGGGTTGGGAGTGGGGGAAGCATCTGCATGACTTGCTTCCCCATGCTTGTGGAGTGCAGATATCTGTGTTCTTATTACATTGAGGTTATTCATTGGTGGAACTTTACTACAAGGTGCTGACATGTTCTGCAATATGGAACTTCCCCCATGATCCAAGACAGAGGAAGGTTCCTCACTAAAATATCCAGTCTTTACATCAGAGGATCAAAACCAAAGAACAGTCACTGACATGGAGATGTGTGAACAGTTACCAGTAACACAAACAAAATGTGCCCTGGGTGTCTGCTTTCAAGTTCTCTCAGAAAATCTTATGACTCCATGTGAGCAACATCAGGGACAAGACCTTGGTAAAGTTTGTCCAAACAACAATAAACTTTATTAAGTAAAACTTCATAAACACTGATACACAATGAACAATTAACAGAAAAATTAAATCCAAACTTTCTTATGTAAAATTGAGCATTGTTTAATTTGCATCAAAACTATAGCTACCATTAAATCCAAAGTAATTGTGGACATTAGGTTGGAGAATTAGAAGTGTTAATGATGAAAATATTTAATTTTATCTTAGAGTATACAGAGAAAATATATTTAAAGAAATATAACTTTGAATTGAATATCTCTTGGAAGAAATGCTTCATTACAGTACCCGCAATGCTGGGGCTAATATTGAAGGAGACCTGAGATATAAATATATATTTAGCATTATAAGACATTCCTTAGAATCCATGGAACCATTCCTTGGAATCAAGGTCCATTCCTTGGAACCATGAAGTGATTTGGAACATCTGTGTCACTTTCAGAAATGTTCATAGCTGGACCAAGTCCAGGGTCACATGGACAGAGACCAACAACAATAATAAGACCTATAGTGTCCCATATTAGGACAACTAGCCTCATTGGCAGAGAGATGGGCACTTGGATTGGCATTCCTTTCAGGAATAAACAGGTTAAACAAAAATTGATAAACAATAAATATCAAGGAAATTAACAAAAACTAACTAGCAAAAACTTATGAACAAAACCATGAAAATTGAAAAAAATTAAACAATTGAAAAAAGAATTCAACATTAACATCAGTCACAAAATCTTGAAAGTAGCATGCTTATCAGCATGTTAGATTGTGTGGGTTGTGTGTTTCTAGCATGTAGTAGGCATATACATGTATAGATTGCCCCAGATGCAGCTCTTCTTTGCTCCAAGTTAGCAGTACATGGAAGAGTGTTGGGGAATCACCCATTTTTTACAGTCCAGAAACTGTTTCAAGGCTCTTCAAGCCACCATGCCTGAAGCCCCTGGCAGCATCTACAAAAGAGTGCAGAGCAGCCTCAGCAGCCAGCGGGTGCTGCTGTTACAGTAAGCGCTTATGCAGGATTTCCCACACCATCTTCTTCCTAAACAGAGGCACATGCTGCTGAGAAAAGTTTATGGGTTGGCCTCTCGAAATATAGTCTGCATATTTACAGGTAAACACTCCACAATCGTTCGTATTCAACTGCAGGGGAATCTCCTCTGCTGACATGCAGTATTGCTTCCACTCCGAGGGGTCCAGATCTATATTCCTTTTTGCTTTGCTTTCTTCTTGCAGGTACTGGAAAATCAATCCCAGGACATCTGTTCTTTTGAGTCCCATGGAATCCCAGTAGACAACGGTCTTCTTTCGTAGGTCTATGACCACAAGACTCCAGTGGACATGAAGATGTACCGGCACGAGGACAATGTCCTTTTCAAAGATATTCACGGCCCGGGTCCACTTTTTCACAGACCTGTATCCCCCACACTTGAGTTTCGTATAGAAGAATGTATTAAAGGTGTGAAGTGAGGCATAGCCTGGTGATTTGCTCCTGTGTGAGAGTAGGTTCATGTAAAAATTTATGATGTCATCATTGAGCCACTGGCTTTCCCATAGAGTCTGCATGTCTCCTCTGGTGATGTTCAGTTTAAATGCACTGCTTAAGATGTCCTCTTGTGGCCCTGGACCGAGTGCATTCATGATTTCCTGCTCCATGTCAGGTGTTACATCAGGGCCATGGTCTTGGCTACTGCCCTTCTCTTGCTCCTCAAAAGGCTCCTCCTCGGCCTCAGGTGTTAACTTGTTCTTGTGGAAGATGCCACTGGTGTCACTATTTTTGGAGTTTGGGGCCTGAGCTCCTCCCAGAATGTCAGGCTGGGGGTGGTGTCTAGTTCTCTTGTTTTCAAAATTAATTCCACCTGTCTTTTTTGTTTCAAAATGTGTCTCTGGTGAATAGCTCTTTTCAGTTGTGACTGGTGAATGGTGTCTTCTGACAGGATGTCTGAATTGATTTGGCTGGAACTGAGTTGTTTCACAGCCATGAATATGTTCTTCCATGCAGCCTTTGATGTTCTTCAGGTTGTCAGCAGGTCTTGTGTGAGTGCTGGGCGGGCCAGAGTGGACAGGATCGCAGGGTTGAAGATGGTGGGACAACCTTCTGCACTTTTCATTGTGCTGTTTCTCAACTCTGTCCTGTATGTTGGAGTAAGTGCGCTTGCGACTCTTGCCAGCACCCACATATTTCACCTCAATGACATCCTCCTCTTCAGGGTTTCTGACCTTGTCTTGTTTATTTGGGTGCAATGGACCCTTTGCCATGGGATTCATTGCCTGACGATTTCCAGATTCTTGATGAGCAGGCTCTTTTTCATAGAGTTCTTGTTTCACTCTCTTGGGAGACTCGTGTGGCTCTTCACACTTCTGATCTCTTCCTCCTTCCCCCTGGCTCTTTCTTTTTCGAAATTTCACTACATGTTTGGGACTCATGGTACCAATCTGTTGGTTACATTGCCTTGTCAAGGAAGGCCTTTGCCTACCTTTGGTCAGGAACTGGCTGCTTACCTGGCAAATGCCTTTTAATTTCCATGTTGAAGTGCAGGATAGTCTGACTCTTTGTGCATCCTTTGGGGATATTGAATTGATGTCTGATGGATCAGTTAGTCCACTAGGAGTCATCTTATCCTGAGACATTTTGATGTTCAGAATTCACAGTGTAAAGTGCTAGATGTCCTTTTTAGCAGTGAAGGTACACTTTTGGTGTTGGAGGCAGGAGGAAAGTGACACAAGATGGATGTGACAGGATGGAAGTGAACCTTTACCTCACTGAGGCCATCAATTCATTCTTATCTCTTGGGAGGTAGTTCTCTAGTAGTTTCCCTGTAGACAGTTCGATGGTCTTAATTCAAAAGTCTTGTCTTGAGGGAAAAGTGGGGCTTCAGAGGGCAATGGGCCTCTGTTTCCCCCGAAATTGAGGTAATTACAAAGCTTTGTAACCAGTAGCTCTAAGGCATAAGCGCTTGGCAGCACAGTCAACAAATTTGAGGCAAGACTGTTTGCTTCACTGTTGCCCTGGCTAAGAGCCTGATGTTCTATAGTTGGTTATGATGCAGTTTGATACTTCATGACAACATTCTATAGTGAGTGGAGCCATCACCCATTGTCTCCCGGGTCTAAGATCCTTTTTTGATGACTTTGTTTTTGATATAGGGTTTCTCTGTAACAACCCTTGCTATCCTAGAACTCACTTTGTCAACCAGGCTGTCCCGAAACACACAGAGATTCAGCTGCTTCTGCATCCTGATTGCAGGAAGTACTGTGTATGCCACCATTGCTGGCCAGTTTAAGGATCTTAATGCTTGTTTCCATCCTTTAAGTTCCTCTTGGACTGTGCCTGTCTAAAAGCCGGAAACAAACACAGAGTCAGTTAAAGCTCAGAGGGGAAGAGGTGTAGCTCTGTCTTCAGAAAGGGAGAGACTATTGGGAAGAACAGTAGATTTACTACACTTCATTTTTCTCTAATGTGAAGTCTAGGAGAGAGGTTAGACACTTGGAACCATTTAGATACATCTCTCTTCTCTTATGGACAGAGGATTAGGCTCAGTTCACCTACACATCCATAGAGCTTTGATTTATTTCGCGAAATATGGCTCAGGCAGTGTCTGTTCATTCATCTAGGCAGAATCTAAGAGCCAATGCAGAGTCAACCTTACTCCCTCCTCCTAGCCATGAGGGTACAGATACTGGATCAAGGTGAATCTGGATTAGCTGCACCCTGAATGATCATTAACCCCTCACAAAAATCAGTGAAAGCAAAGGGGAGAAGCTTTGATTTGTTGATCCACTGATTTGTGTCGGTTGTTTGTTGTCTCATCATAAACTAACTCATCCCATGATCCTGCTGCCTCTTAGGGAAGAATCTGCTATGTGTTACTGTTTTTAATTATAGAAAACAAAACGTAAGTGTTATTCCCTGACTTGGAGTCTTATGCTTCTAACATTAGTGGATGAAATTTACCCCAAAAGGAGATTTTCATTATATCAATGTATTTCGTCTCAATATTTCTAGTAAGTACAAGAAAGTTACAGCTGTGAGACCTGGTGGACACCAGCTACCAACAATACATTATACTTTAACAACATTAATGGGTTAATCAGCATCCTGTTGAACCCTGTAGGCTGTGTTGAGAAAGACACAAAGTATCTATCCCATAGAAAACACTGGGAAGAATTCAATTAAAGGACATTTTTAAAAAAATAAAGCAGATGTGGTTATGCCTGTAAAAAAGACCAAGGAGGAGCATATTCTCAGAATTGTCTCATGTAGACAAACCAGAGATAAAGTATAAAGTGTAATGAAATCATAAGTGACACAAAGACATTGGAAGTTTGGGGAATAATGCATTTCTTTTTTAAAAAATAAATTTTATTTCAATTAAAAACAATCTTATTTTACATATCAATCCCATTTCCCTCTTTCTCTTGCCCTCCCATGCCCCCACAAGCCCCTCTTCTCACCTCCATCCACTTTCCAGGGAGGGTGTGGCCTCACATGAGGGATCACCAATCTGTCACATCATTTAGGGCAGGACCTAGGACCTCCCCCATGTATCTAGGCTGAGAGAGTAGCCCTTCAAAGGGAATAGGCTCTGCAAACCTATCGTGCACTAGGGATAAATCTGGTTTCATTGTCAGAGGCCCCATAGACTGCCCAGGCCTCTCAACTGACAACCACATGCAGGGGCCTGTTTTAGTCCAATGCTGGTTCCCAGCTGAAAGACTTGGGTCCGTGAACTTCCACTTGCTAAGTTCAGCTGTTTCTCTGGGTTTCCCCAGGATGGTCTTGATCCCTTTGCTCATCACGCCTTCCTCTCTACACATGGATTCCAGGAGTTCAGCTCAGTGCTTGGCTGTGAATCTCTGCTTCTGCTTCCATCATCTAGTAGATGAAGGCTCTATGATAGCATTTAAGGTAGTCATTATAGGGGATTGGTATTTAAGGTATCCTCTTCATTATTGCTTAGATTCTTAGTTGCAGTTATCCTTGTGGAACTCTGCACATTTCCCTAGTGCCAGACTTCTCTTTAAACTGATAATAGCTCCCTCTACTAAGGTATCTCTTTTCTTGTTCTCCTTCACTATTCTTCCCCCAACTTGGATCTCCCTAACCCCTCATGTTCCCCTCCCCCTTCACCCCTCCTTTTCTCCTATCTCCCTCCCCACTCCCCACATGCTCCCAATTTGTTCAGGAGATCTTGACCCTTTCCCCTTCTCTGTGGGCCATGCATATCTCTCTTAGGGTCCTCCTTGTTTCCTAGCTTCTCTGGCGGTCTAATATCCTCATATGCATGAGCACACACCATGTTTTTCTTTCTGTGTCTGGGTTACCTCACTCATGGGGTTTTTGTTTTATTTTGTTTTTGTTTTTTGTTTGTTTGTTTGTTTGTTTGTTTGAGACAGGGTTTCTCTGTGTAGCTTTGGAGCCTATCCTGGCCTTGAACTCACATAGATCTGCCTGCCTCTGCCTCCCAAATGCTAGGATTAAAGGCGTGTGCCACCAATGCCCAGCTGGATGGTTTCTTCTAGTTCCATCCATTTGCCTGCGAATGTCAAGGTTTTATTGGTTTTTGTTTTTTTGGTTTTTTGTTTTTTTTTTTTCCCCCGCTGAGTAGTACTCCATTGTGTAAATGTACCACATTTTCTTTATCCATTCTTGGTTGAGGAGCATTTAGGTTGCTTACAAGTTCTGGCTATTACAAATAATGCTGCTATGAACATAGTTGAACACATGTTCTTATTGTATGAATGTGCTTGCTTTGGGTATATGCCTAAGAGTGGAATTGCTGTATCTTGAGCTAGACTGATTCCCATTTTCCTGAGAAACAGCCATACTGATTTCCAAAGTGGCTGTACAAGTTTGCATTCCCACAGCAATGGAGGAGTGGAACAATGCATTTCTAAGTAATTCTTTCTTCATTTTGTAATCCAGAGACCATTGTTCATAAACTAATGAATGGTACATGGATGAATGCATATTGCAAAATGTGATATTAAGCAAGACTTCAAAATATACATAAAATAAATTCTAGAAAGGGAGGAGTTGAACTTCAGTAGTAGTATGTGTTTCAATGCAAATGTTATGTTCAATCCCCAGCATCATTAACTCTCAAGAATGTGTTCAACTTGTTACTGGGGTGTGAATTAGTGATATAATGCCTATAGTGATACAAGACATAGAATTTACACCTTAGTTGTGGAAAAGCAAAGCTACTGAAGAGAATGAACATGCAGTTGTGCACTCACACACTGTCAAATGCCCCCCCCACACACACACATACGTGTGCATGAGGGGACCCAGGCATACCCACAATGAGGGTATTCACTAGAAAAAAGCAGAATTGACCACCCATAAAGAGACCCAGGCACAACCACAATGAAGGTATTCACCAGAAAGAAAGGGAATAGATCATCCATGAAGAGGAATTTTCAGGAGTCATTTGGCTGAAAATACTTGGAATTCACACTTGTGTGAAAATGAAAGTAAGTCAATTGAGAAATGAGTAAAATAAACAGCAATTACCAATATGAAAAAGAGCACTGGCCCCAAATCTTCTCAGTGAGTGACAGGTCTATATACTGCCTGTCCTGCTATTATTCAGGAGTGTAGAAGCAAAGATAAAGAGAGTCAAGCTCCATAGCTTTTCCTCCAGCATCACACCCATCTTCATCCTGTCAGCAAACATCAGATCAATACAGATCAATACTCATCAGTCAGTTCTTAATTGACATGAGGGGTCCAAGTTTCAAAACAGGCAAATTTGGGAGGGAAGAAAGAGGAGATTCTGAGACAGATGTTTGCTTCACATTTCAATCCCTTCTACCTCCCCTCCCCCCAAACCCTCCCCCCAACCCCCCAACTGCCCCTCACCTCATCCACCCTCCACTCCTCAGGCAGGGTAGGGCCCTCGATGGGGGCTCCCCAAAGTCCACGACATCATCCTGGCCCAGGCCTAGGCCCTCCCCTATGTGTCCAGGCCAAGAGTGCATCCCTTCATATGGGATGGGCTCTCAAAGTATCTTCTTACACCAGGGAAAAATACTGATCCAGGGACACCCTAGAGTGCAGAGGCCTCCTCATTGACATCCACGTTCAGGCATCTGATTCAGTCCTGTGCTGGCCTCCCACATAACACTCTAGGGTCAATGTGCTCCCCCTTGCTCAGGCCAGCTGATGCTATGGGTTTCACCAGCCTGGTACCGACCCCTTTGATCCTCTTTCCTCCCTCTCTGCAATTAGGTTCCAGAGTTCAGTTCAGTGTATATCTGTGGATGTTTGTCTCTGCTTCCATCAGCCACTGGATGAGGGCTCTAGGGTGGCTAAAAAGTAGTTATTAGTCTCATTATAGGTGAAGGGAATTTAGGTTATCCTCTCTACCATTGTCTGGATTGTCAGTTTGTGTCATTCTTGTAGATCTCTGGAAATATGCCTA